CTTCATGATCTCAAATTTATATCTTCCTTTCTCTCATCAAAGAAGTGTAGGTCATTGGGTCATTCACTCATTCCTTCTTTTCTGCCTCTAAGTAAACCTGAAGAATTTTAATACAGAAAAAGGCTTTCGGTGAACTGTCTCATTGCTTCACTACTGGATTCTCTGTCTCGTAACCATGATGAGATTTCTCCTGTTTGCTTTGCTCAGCTTAGTTTTGTGCACCTGGCTTTTTCCCTCTTTTACCTCATAGATTTGGTTCACGTCTCTAGCCCAACAGCAATCAGCCTCCAGCCAAATTTACTCTTTTCTGTTTTCCCCAGCATCTCACAGCTGCATTTGACATCGTTCATCATTCTCTTGTTAGAATTCTGTTTAGTCTCGGCTCCTGGGGGCAGTCTTGCTGTTTTCTTACTCTACTTGATCTTTTGTTATATTATAGGGTGCAAGCACCAGAAAGCTGTCTTTCCCAAACTGCTCATTTTTACAGGCAGGGAAGCTCTGCACTGCATTATGTACTTGTTTACTTGCTTCTCTCCCCATTTACCTTATGGGGTCCCACAGCCTTGGCCCTAGGCACACTCCACTTTCCTCAACTCTAAACAAACTGACATGTTTGTTAATTACTTTGATAAAGGTACCTAGCAAATCCCCATATCTGTCACGCGTCTTTGTTTTATCTTTTATTCTCATAATAAATCCATTTGTTATCCCCTAAACACCTGCAGCCGTCCCACACTGGACTTATTATCGCCTCCTTATTCTTTTAAATCATTGCGCCCAAATTTCCCTTTGTCTACATTTCTGACTTGAGGATTTGGAGCCATCTTAAGGTCTCACTTTGTCCATTGTCCAGTACATGTGGCCCTTTCCCACCTGTCTATTAACGGTTTTCTGTGATATTGTGTAGATCTTCCTCTTCCATCTCCTCAAGTGCCATAAAATTACAGTTTTTTCCCCCTTTATGTCCAGGCTGCTACAGGGGACTTCTGAGTGTTGTCCCTCTTTTTGGTCTCACCCCCTCCTCAACTGTCACCTGCTTCATACTGTTGACTCCTTACTATCTGCTCTGTCAGGCTTCACGATTCTGACCTTTTTGGTTCTTTCCTCGTTACACTTTCCCTCATTTTTACTAATGTCTCTTCTCAGCCCCAAAGTAAACTTTCCATTCCAGCCAAATAAATTCATTTGGCATCTACAGGTTGCCTTTCTCTGCCTTTTGCCCACCCCCTCGCCAGCCCTCCTGCCGAAGTCGACTTGCTGTTTCTCACCTTGCTGACTTCTAGAGAACTGTTTCCCAGTATGGAATGCTCTCACATTTCCTACCAGACTGTATTCTTTTTGTGCATTCATTTATTCAGCAAATGTTTGTTTACTATTTGCTGTGTGCCAGGCATTTTGCTAGGAATTAGGGATACCAAATCCTTGCCCTCAGGGAACTCCATAGTCCTGTGGGGGACACAAGTAAATAGGCAGTTACAAAGCAGTGTGAATAGTGCTGGTATAGAAAGTCTTAGAGGCCACGGGGCATATGTAGAAGGCACATCTTGCTGTGGGAAAGAAGGGGTGTCATGCAGCCATTCCAAAGGATATTTTAAAGTTCTTTAGCCAAAGAAAGAAAACTAGACGCAAAACTTCACCTGCCAGAAAGCCGTGTATAAGTGGCCCCACCTGGCCTGGTGGGGCCCTCTACTCTGCATTCCTCTTGGCCCTTATAGACCCAGTACAAACTCTTGAAATTCACATTATATTTTCTATGGCTTTTTGAATAATCCTCTTTTGTTTTTAACATTTATTCATTTGAGAGAGAGAACCGGGGTCGGGGGGCAGAGGGAGGAGGGAGAAACATAAGCAGACTCCGTGCTGAGCGTGGAGCTTGACATAGGGTTCGATCCCGCGACCCTGAGCTTAGACCTGAGCCAAAGCCAAGAGTCGGACACTCAACCAACTCTGCCACCCAGGCGCCCCCAAAATCCTTTTTTTCAATAATACATACATGTTTTCTCTTCAACTAGATTATAGGCTACTTTCTAGGACCTAGAGACTGAGTATCCTTTTTCTCATACTCTGTGCAAAGTGTCCAATGTAAATTCACCAGCAGAGGACCCAACACAATGACCACAGCTTCCTTGGGCCTAGGGCTTTTCAAAATTTTATTTCACAAGCTTGACTGTGACTGTCAACTTTGTAAGGTATTTTTATTTGATTCTTGGACACAATGGAATTTTCTGTTGTGTGTGTTTGAACAAAATGTTCCCACTCAAAGCACTCAGTGAGTTGCCATTGACACCAATAATATACACATTTGCCCTTTGGTGGTGGAATGGAGATGTTGGCAGTACCAGCTTGGTTCTGAGAGTGTCACTAAAAGGCTTTGAAAGCTGATTCTTTACAGTAGCCTTGCAAATCAACAAGTGCCTCCAGGTTTAGGGCTAAAATAACAAACATCTAGTCTGACCTGATCATGAAGTATTTCTTATAACTTCCAACTCCACGGTATTCATGTTGTAGTACTGCTTTTGTTTTTTACTATGGGCATTAATTTTTCAAAGGAAGGCAACATTGATGGCTGAGGTTCAGAGATAATGTTGTTTTCAGGACCACATTTGCTCTCCGTTACGTGTTTTCATTTCAGTCAGTAGTTCTTAACCTTTGGGGGGGTCATGGCCCCATATGACAACCCAGTCAAATCTATGGGAAAGTGTACATAGGCACACACAGAATTGTCTATACTATTTAGGGGGTTCCTAGACCCTCTGAATTCCCCCATCAACCCTGTGACTCATTGTTGGCTTGTTCTAATAAGGTTCTTACAAAATTGTTGTCATTTTAAGCTAAATATACTAACAAAGTTTGATCCCTTTTGTCACCATTCGGTTCTTCTGTTTGACACATGCACACAGTGAACATTTCCACGCCCGTTGCACATCTGTTAGTATAAACCACTGTCCTGTACTTCTTCCTTCTCTGGAAACAATGAATGCATATGTATTTTTTAGAGGAGTACATATAGATAGATCAGTTCTGCCCAGGCAGAGGAAAAGCTCTTGTATGCATTAGTATAATACATCTGTGCAAGTAGGAATTAGAATCTATTCAGTATAGCTGTCACGACCATGCTTTTCTGCCTTCATGTTAAAGAAATGTTTCTCGGGTTATAAAACAGCTTATATAACTGCAATCATGTTATTTAAAAATAACGAAGCCCTTATATCCATGTTTATATAAAATGCTAAAGGAATATACATGAAAAGGCACATATATTCAGATAACATTGCGGGTGGTGGGCCTTTGCTGTGCTACTGTTTGGAATTTTCTTTATTGGAAAATCCAGGTGGAACAGAGAAAGGAGGGATGAGGCCTCTTACTAAACTGGGTTTCTGGCTTTTTTCTTCTTATATTCCGGTGAGTATGTGAAATGACAATGAGGAAAAGATGTGTTACAAAATAGCTCCAGCATCTCAATCCATGGGCCTTCATTTTTGTTTTCAGTTTGAATCCTGATTTCTTTGGAAAGGGTAGTTAGTGTTTTGGGGTTTTTTTATTTTTTTTTTTATTATTATTTTTTTTTAAAGATTTTATTTATTTATTTGAGAGAGAGAGAATGAGAGATAGAGAGCATGAGAGGGAAGAGGGTCAGAGGGAGAAGCAGACTCCCTGCTGAGCAGGGAGCCCAATGCGGGACTCGATCCCGGGACTCCAGGATCATGACCTGAGCCGAAGGCAGTCGCTTAACCAACTGAGCCACCCAGGTGCCCTGTTTTGGGTTTTTTTTAAGTGCTCTGAAAATAATCAAAATTAAATTCAAGTTGTGCCAGGTAAAAATAAAAATATAACATCCTAAGGATCACATAATAGTGCACCACGGTGGGACTTCATAGTTTACATGAAGATTGTGTATATTAGTTCATGAGACTCTCAGAAATCAGTGAAGGAAGATGGGTCAACAAATATGCCCGTGTTGTAAGAAACCCAGCTCAGAGCCTTAGCTGAGATCCCATGACTAGTAAGGGACTGGGAGGGAGGCTTTATATTTCTGGTTCTAATTCAGCATTCTTCCTGGCTCCTCTGCCATGGATACTTGGGAAAAATCGCCTGGCTCTCTGAGTCCCAGTTTGCATTTTCATAATGTAAATGCAAAATGTACTTATTTCATGTATTTATTTCAAGTTTTTAAACGCTTGTTTTCATTTTGCAGAGTTGTGTTGAGAATCCGATTATACAGTGCAGTGGTTCTCAAAGCATGATCCCTAGACCAGCACCAGGAGCATCTCTTGGGAGCTTGTTAGAAATGCAAATTCTTAGGCCCACCTCAAACCTGAATCGGAAACTCTGGGTGTGGCACCCAGCAATCCATGTTTCGGCAGACCCGCCAGGTGATTCTAATACACACTCAGGTTGGAGACCCACCAATGATATGTGTGAGATAGCATTTTGAAAAGAGCAATGTGTTCTAGAAATTTGAGATAGGAAGCTGGGTTTTTTTTCCTTTTTTAAAGATTTTATTTATTTTAGAGAGAGTGAGAGCACAAGAGCAGAGTGAGGGGCAGAGGGAGAAGCAGACTCCCCGCTGAGCAGGGAGCCCCATGCGGGGCTCGATCCTGGGACTCTGGAATCATGACCTGAGCCGAAGGCAGACGCTTAACTGACTGAGCCACCCAGGCGCCCCGTTCTTTTTTTTTTTTTAATTGAGGTAAAATTTATGTATAGTGAAACCCAAAGATCTTAAACATACAGTTCTATGAATTTTCACATTATGTGATCCCCACACCAGTCGAGGCATGGAACTCTTTTATCATTCTGTAAAGTTCCCTCTTGCCTCCTCTGCTGTGTGGTCATCCCTGCTGGGCAACTGCTATTCCCAGACAGACTTCATTAGAGGAAGTAAGAGGACACGACAATGATTTGATCACAGAACCATGACTGTATTCTTTTTTTCCTTTACTACTTATACTTACCATTTCTTTTTTAATTACTAAGCAGAGTTCTCTCTGGTTTTTCAGCCCATGGACCAAGCTTCTCTCAAAAACAGTGACGTTCTCATTCTGACAGGCCTGACCCAGATCCCCACCGCGAACCCAGACGGCATGGTGGGAGAGTTCTGCAGCAATCTGGGTATGTGACCAGCTCGTACTGTGGATGTGATGAGGTGTGCTAGGTTTACTTTTGGATACCTTGCTTCTGCAGTAGTTTGTGCTCCTTCCCTTCACATTCACATCCTCCAGTGTTTCAAAGCTTTTCCCCCGTCTACTCCACCCTTCTCGCCTGTCCTTCAAAGCTTGGTCTTGTCAGCAAAAGCAATTCTTAAGCAACAGAAATCTGAAGAATGTTAGAATGGTTGTCATAAGAGTCAATTCAAGTGTTTAGCACTTTTATGCAACAAATACTTAACATTCTCCCACTTGACTTATGTTGAAAATTCTTATTTATTCTTCTTGCTTTGTGGTGGGATTTGGGGGCAGGACAGGCGTGCATACAAGGTAGCGGTTGTCAAAAAAGGGAAGAATCACATCTTTGCTTTGCAGATAATAGCAGATTGAAAAGACCGTTAATGCTTTGCATTCACAACAGCGAAATGCTGAACACATCATTTTTTTCCACCAGTATTTGGTTGGTGTTATTTTTTCTTTGAGAGAAGACTAAATTTGGGGGAGAGACTTGGGTGTTTGCTACCTAGAAGAAATATATGTTTCTTTGGATATAATTGTCAGTAAAATCTAGAAATCCTGCCCTTCTTTATGGAAAAGTATAGGTTGCTTACTGTCTTAGCTTGGGCTGCTGTAACAAAATACCATAGACTGGGTGGCTTGAACAACATTTATTTCTCATAGTTCTGGAGGCTGGGAAGTCTGAGATCAGGTTGCCAGCATGGTCAGGTTCTGGTGAGGGCCCTCCTCCTGGCTTGTAGATGCCCACAAGGGTGTCCTCACTTGGCAGAGAGAAGCAACTCTCGTGTCTTGTCCTATTCTTGTAAGGACACTAATCACATCATGGAGGCTGTACCCTCATGGCCTCTTCTAAACCCAGTTACTTCCCAAAGCACCCACCCCCAGTACCATCACATTGGGAGTTAGGGCTTCAATATATGAATTTTAGGGGGACACAGACCTTCAGTCCATGACGGTTACCAAAGAGGGATTAATGAGCTCAGATCTTCCACCCCTAGCAACTGTAAGTGCTGTCGCCTCTGCTCTGGGGGAAAGAAATAGTCATCTTATATTTACATGAAAGGCAGTATGCTTTGAAATTTCACCTGCCCATGCCAAACTTTTTTGTTCTTTGCTGATATTAAGCCGAACACAATTTATTCTTCCTTGAAAAAATTATTGGACTTGTCTCAAATAGCATCTTTGATTTGTATGTTCGTTTGTTTATAATCTAGAATCATAGGCTCAAAGAACTTTAGATCTTAAAGGAGCCTTACATCTAATCTCCTGGTTCTCAAAGTCCACTAACCACTTGCCTCAAGATCAGTGAGGCCACCTATTAAAGATGCAATTTGGAGTCCCTGCCACAGACCTAGTAAGTCAGATTCTCTGGGGAGAGGAGAGACCCAGCAGAAAACCTGCATTTTTAACATGTTCCCTGGCAATATTCATGTACACTAAAGCTTAAAGACCACTGATCTAGTTCACTCCTCTCATAACCAATCAGGAAACAGGCCCAGCCAGGTATCAGTGGCTTATGCAAGATCCTATAGCTTGTGACAAAGGCAGGAGTAGAGCCAGGCCTCTGGAGCCCTGACCACTGTCTCCCACCACGGTACCACAGTCTCGTAATGGCAAGTCAACCAGTGCTTGGGGTACTGCATCTGGGAGAGCCTGTGTGTCAGACCTGGGAACGAAGAGGATCCAAGACATCAGAGGCTTCAAGATCTATACCCAAAAGCTGTGTGTTTCAGTTTGTTTTGGAAACCAAACAAAAAACAAACTTAAAAGAGCTTTGTTGTTTGTTTTTTTTTAAGCCAGTTATAACTTCTAATATGATTATACCCATAAGTTGCAATTCCTCATTTGATAACTTGTTTTAAGTATTTAAAGTATGGAGGATTTTCTTACAGATAACACATTAATGAAAGAAAATGCCTAAAATGAGTCAAATGGAAAAACTTGGCCTATTTCCTTATAGGTCATTCAGCAGTGGTCAGAGACTGAGCAGAGACAAATCCAGCAAAATTTTGAGCAGGAGCTAAAAAGAAAAGGAGCTTGGAGGGTCTGTCCTGAAGCTCGGCTGCCATTGGTAACCTTTAAAACCCAAACCCTTCACTGCACACCCTGTTCCCAGGGACAGACATCCAGTAAAAACCCAGCTGATGGTTAAGTTAGCCTCTGGATTCTCCCACCTCTGTACTGTTCTTCAAAAGAAACAGATCATTATCCATGGGAAATGAATTGTATGAACAGAAGTAGGAAAATTAAAGAAATCCAAATATTATTTTTAAAGTTTTGTTGTACCTTTATAAAACTGTTCTTTTAATGCCACCATTTTCTCTCTGGCTTCAACTTTTCTAGCACTGACAGTCCGGAATGGAGGAAACGTGTTGGTGCCCTGTTACCCTTCCGGCGTGATCTATGACCTCTTGGAATGTCTGTATCAGTACATTGACTCAGCCGGCCTCTCCAACATCCCTTTCTACTTCATCTCCCCGGTGGCCAACAGTTCACTTGAGTTTTCCCAGATTTTTGCTGAGTGGTATGTCTCTGTTCTTCTCTGTGATTCAGCACACTCAAGCAATAAGAATGAAAATGTAAAAAGGTTTTTTTAATTAAAAAAGAATAGAAATAGGTTTTTTTCCTTGCATTATTATGAGACTTACATTTTGTTGTCTTTCCATGTCTGTGATGTGAAAATTGTATTAGTGAAAGCCAAATCTGTTATGTTGCTAGGATGTAGAAGAATAGTGATCAAGGAGAGAAGGATGAAAGGCAAAGATTTAACTTAGCCAGCACTTTCAAAATCAGTGATAAAAATATTATGCATTTATCCTCTCACATGCTACCCTCTGCCTGTTACAAAGTGAAGTGACATTCTAGAAGCTCAAAGCCCAAGCTCATGTTGTCTGGAATTTATAACACCAAATCTGATAAGAAAGGCTGGATTTTTTTTCATTTCAATAGCATGATATTTGACAAAATTAAGTTTTATTACAGTAGGAAATTATTTGATCCAGTCCTAAGGTGGGTAAATGATTGTATAGGATGAAATCAGTGAACCCTGTTAGAATTATTTAGATGCACGTCTGAATCTAACTCACCTGGCCAAAAGGAGGGATGGGGGAAATACATTAAGTTTTAGAGTCGACCTAACAGTGCCTTAGAGTGGAGTTTCTAGACGGGGGTATGACACATACACCAGTGTGTTTAATCCATTTTAGTTGTGTGGGAGCCTAGTGGACACAGTATTCTACCGAGTTTCTCATTAAAAAGGAATTTGTACATCATTCTGTCATAACTTGTTCCGTATACTGCCTCCCCCACTCCTCCTTTTTTAAAGGGCATTTTTTCCCTCCCCTTTTAGTTGTAGTCAAGGTCCTTTTTTCTTTCTCTCAATTCAAAGAAGCTTCTCCATCCCCTGTGCATGTTATTCATGTTTGTCCTTAGGGCTGTCACTTTTATTGGTACCTATTGAATTTTATCCTTTGCATAGGGTCTTTTCTCCCCCAACATGGGAAGTTAATCTTGAATAATTAGCAGTCCATCCTAAGTATCACTTGCACAATTAGCATGTTCTGAATTTCCTCATCCAGATCCTTAGTAAAACACTCCAGGGCCAGCCCTGCGAGGCCCAGGTGCTGGTGTGCTCCCCAAGGCCACCCCTGCCCCACTGCATGCTGTTCTTGTCAGCATATCTGATGGGAGAGAAATCAGGATCATGAGAATTAATGTAGGGTGTTTTTGTGTTTCTGGGTCTTTTTATTAATATATGTGTAAACACATATACTATAGAAAACAATACAAGTTACAGGAAAGAGGAAAAAACTGAACCCATAAGCCCAATCTCCAGAAATAATATCACTGTTGGCATTTTGATGGATTTTTTCTTTCTATATGAGGATCATGCTGATTATTTAATTTTGGATCCTGCTTTTAAAAATTTTTAATATGAGATTAGAGCATTATAAAATCTTCGAGAACATAGTTTTTACATGACTGCATTATTACATTATTTGTACCTCATTTGTATATCATATAATTTACCTAATTGTTGTCGTCGTTGGACAGACAGGCTTGGCCCAGTTTTTTTATTTTTAGTAATAAATCTTTAGTTAATATCATTTTTATGTATATATGACTGCATCTTCTGCTTTAGGCCAATTACTAAATGTGGAATTACTGGAACAAAGAGTATAAATATTTTTTAATGTTCGTTAAACAGATCTAAATTGCTTTCCAGAAAGATTTTTGGCTTCTGTAAATTGTCCCCTTTTTACATATTAGAGGTGTTAAACTTCTCTTACCATTTTATCTGAACTCTATTCTTTTGTTATATTTCTGCAGACATTTTTTTCCCATCTTGGCACTTTGGATTTTGTCTTTGATTTTGTTTTTTTAAATAATAAAGTTATTTTGGAATAATTTTGGGGTTACAGAAAAGTTGCAAAGATAGTGCAGAGAACTCCTATATACCTTCTACTTAGCTTCCCCTGATGTTAACGTCTTACGTGGCCATATATACGTGCCGAAACTAAGAAATGAACATTAGCATGTTATTATTAGTTGAACTCCAGTCTTTATTCAGATTGTACAATTTTTCCACTAATGTCTGTTTTCAGTCCCAGGATCTAGTCCAGGATACCACAAGGCATTTAGGTTTTTGTTTTTGGTTGTTGTTTTTTTTTTTTTTTTTGACAGAAATACTTTAGTTTTCTATATTGATGCTAACTAAGGCAGCATAATATCCTTTGCGACAATCTAAGAAACCTTAAACGAACATCTTGTATTTGCCTCTCTTCCTGAGTTTAAGAGTTTTATCTTCCTGTTTAGAACTATATGTATAATATAAAGTAACCCTCCGAAAGTATCTTCCTTCCATATTTACATCTTCCTCCAAAAAACATATAAAGTGATTTTTTAATCAAGATTAAAGAAAGCGAAGTGTAGGAAAAATTAAAAAGTAGTATTAATGAAGTTAATATAAAACCCAAACCCTGAAGTCCTGAACTACTCCCCCAAAAGTAGTATCTGTTAGAACTATTGAAATACTTTAATACTATTTTAGTAGAATCCTCACAAATGGGCGCTAACAAACATACATCACTACATATATTTTTTTCTAACTTTTAAAAATGCCAAACCTACAGAACACCCGTGAGTCTTGATATCAGTTGTTAACTTTTGCCACAATTGCTTTATTCAGACATTTCCGTATTTTAAATGTCAGACCTGGCCAAGAAAGAGCATAGACTACCTAAAACACTTAGTGGGCATGCAAAATAGCAAGTTGTGTGTCTGAAAAAAACCTGTCACTTTGTCCTCAAAAGCAATCACAACGAATGCAAGGATAGGCTAGGACAGAATCAAAGGATACTTTGAATTGGATCCTGCAATGGGAAAAGGACATTAGTGGAAAAACTGGTAAAAATCCAAACAAAATGGGAATTTAGTTGGTTGTAATGCAGTAATGTTAATTTCTTCGTTCACCAAACGGATCATGGTTATGTAAGATGTTAACGTGAAGGGGCCTCTGGGTATAGGGCACAAGGGAAGTCTGGACTGTCTTTGCAACTTTTCTGTGTAAATCTAAAACTATTCCAAAATAACAGGTTTATTTTTAAGGCAAAAATGTATTGAGGAATTTAAGAGTTAAAAAATGCACACAAGACATTTATGTTCTGAATACTCTATAGGCGCTGGCTTTTAGTCACAGCGAGATTCCCTAACAGGAAGATTTTAAGTAACCTTTAGTATTGTTTGCGCTGCTACCACTAGGTGGCAGCAAACGCCCCTGTGTGCTCTACCTAACATGCTCATCTGCTTTTCCTCTTTAAAAGGCTTTGTCACAACAAACAGACGAAGGTGTATCTACCAGAACCACCTTTTCCTCATGCAGAGGTAAGAAAATGGCATTATTGGGTCAGAGCAAGAAAAACTGTAGATAAATGGTTCGAGATGGAGATAGTAAGTCATCGGATTTTAAAAAATCCTGCGGCGCCTGGGTGGCTCAGTCAGTTAAGTGTCCGACTCTTAATTTCGGCTCAGGTCATGATCTCAGGGTCATGAGACCCCTCTTCGGGTTCCATGCTGGGTACGGAGCCTGCTTAAGATTCTCTCTCTCTCCCTCTCCCCCTCCTCTGTCTCTTTCTCCCTCTCTCTCTCTCAAAATAAAAAAAAATCCTTACATAAGCTCATGTAGCCCTTTGTTTCCCATGTGAGACAACTGGGAAGTACTCAAACTCAAGATTCACTACTCTCTCTTGTCATTAACACATTATAGTACCAGTATGTGTCTGCAGTTCATAACCTACCTCTGTTCTGTTGACCGGGTGAGGAATTTTATCTAATATCCACTACTAACTTTTTTACATAATGACAGATTTATTTATTGTGTAAAGTCTTCTTTCCAGTTAGTTATGTTGACCATATATGTGAAGCTTTAATGATGAAAATAATAACATTTAAGTTTTTAGAAAATAAGGGGTCAGTAGGAACAAACTTCTACTTATAAATAAGTCATAGGATGTAATACACAGCATGGTGACTGTAGTGAGCAGATATTAAAAGTTCTCACAAGAAAAAAGTTTATAACATTTATGGTGATGGATGTTAACTAGGCTTACTGTGGTGATTTTTTCACAATAGATAAAATACTGTACAGCTGAAACTAATACAACATTATATGTCAGTTATACCTCTGTTTCTTTTTTTTTTTTTAAGATTTTTTTTTATTTATTTATTTGACAGAGACACAGCGAGAGAGGGAACACAAGCAGGGGGAGTGGGAGAGGGAGAAGCAGGCTCCCCGCTGAGCAGGGAGCCCAATGTGGGGCTCGATCCCAGGACCCTGGGATCATGACCTGAGCCAAAGGCAGGCGCTTAACGACTGAGCCACCCAGGCGCCCCTATACCTCTGTTTCTTAAAAATGGAAAAATTATGCCTTTCTCATAGAACAGATGAGTGTTTTTATATAGCTTTGTCCCAGTTTTGTTTTCATTATATTTTTCACCAAATAGTGTATCATGGACATTTTTCTGTGTGCCTCATATCATTATTATTGCTGCCTAGTATTCTGGAGCATATCATATGGACATTTTGTAATATACTTAACAATTCTCTTACTATCTGACAAGAGTTACGCCCAATTTTTTGTTATATTTTTTAAAAGGTTGTTTAAATTGGCATAACCACTTTAGGAAACTGGTAGTATCTGCTAAAGCTAAACACATAACATACTCTCTGCCTCAGCAGTTTTGTTTCTGAAGTACATACCAAACAGAAATACAGAGGTATGTCACCAAAAGATGCAGAGAAATGTTGAGAGCACTCTTAGTAGTAGTTCAGAAATAGACCCAAATGCCCTCAACAGTCTAGTGGATTTTGTGGTATATTCACACAGTGGAATATCTTACACCAGTAAGAATGAACGAACTCCAATTACATACAGTCGTGTAAACACAGTTCACAAACACGATGTGAGTGAAATAAGTCAGAAGGGAGTAGACACCATGTGATTTTCTTTATATACAAGTTCAAAAACACAAAACTCATCTATGGTATCGGAAGCCAGCACAGTGGTCACCTTGGAGGTAGGGATGGGGCAACAGTAACTGGAAAGGGGCAAAGGGGAATTTCTGAGAAAATTGCAACAAACATCCTGCTAACTGTTTAAAACTTGACAACTCGTACTATTCTTACTTATTCCTACTCCAGAGGATTTTAACCGAACCAGAATTTCCCATGGCAATTTCTAAGAAAGTCATTTTTCAGTCCACGCACTGTTACAGTAGCCGCGGTATTTGTAAGCTCTGCCATTACCACAGTGAAATTCAGGCTAGAAATGAAGTAATGTCAGAAAATTAAGTGTGGCAAAACATATTTTGTGGCTGATTTTACCGCTGAAAGTCTGTTTTTCTCCCCTCCTATCAACAGTTAGCCTTCCTTTGTTTTCTAAGAGTGTTGCTATACATTCTTACCCACATATGTCACAGATGACCTTTGTCCTGTTTACAGTAATGAATATGAAAAGACCATAGTGGCGTGAACAGGGTTCCTGAAATGCACTTGCCAACATTAGGGAATACAGTTCTGCCCTTAGTACTGATAAAAAAAAAAAAAATTACAGAATTCCTACCCTACAGCTTCATTGCCTGTGCAGTTTAGACCTTAAAGAAGTGCAGAGGTAATTCTGGATTGTCAAATATAGTAAAGTCAGCTGGAAAGGTAGATCCAATTGGCCAAAACCAAAAAGAGAGAGAGAGATGAATTTATCTTAGTTTCTGTGCATTGATCAGAAGAACGAACTTCAGGAACTGTAGGTAATGACCAAAAAGTGATTTAAGTTATGTGCAAAGACCCACTGCTATTCTTAGAATCCCATTCATCTCCTTGACAGCAATGGATACAGTAGGCTTAGTCTTTTAGACAGCGCTCACCCTTACTTATCTGGGACAAGGAATGATTTTGGCTAGATCGGTTATAAAAAGAATATCAGCTTACTTGTATATAACTTGCCAGGAAGGTGGGAATTCAGCGTTTGCTCCATGTTTACTACGCATGTCCCATCCAACCTCGGACACCTGATTAGGATCTCCAGGGTAGTGTCGCAGTGTTACTAGTAAAAGCAGTCTCTCTGAATTAAAGATTAAATTTTTAAAGTGAAGAGAGTTTGGCTCCCATCTGGGGGTTGTCCCATTGTGGCCACATCTCACTATTGGGGTGACTTCACTTGGAGTTGGGGTTGTTGACTGGGCTCCCCTCTTATGCATGATGGGTTGCTTCAGATTAAGTTGTGTCACAGACCATTTCTTTATCCATCAGACAATATCTCAGGGCAGTACTCCCTTTGACCTAGCAGGTATATAGGGTCTCTGAAATCAGGATGTTTGTCATCTGACCTTTTGGTGCTGGAGTAGGGGGTTAGGGCACGGCCAGGGCAGCAGGAAGAGCTCCTGAGCCATGTCACAGGACGCCGTGTGGGGCTGCTGTCTATGGTGTTGCCTTGGGTTGGGCATGACTTTGGGAGAGTAGTGCCAGGTATTGTGCTGGAAGGGAGATCCTTTTAGTTCAAAGCATACACTTTTGAGACAAGTTTGAGGCTGCGCATGGCCCACATCTTCCCACAGCTCTGTGTTGTGAGCATGTCACATCTAAATTTCTGAAAGCCAATTTGGCCTTTGTCTTTATGAAGTTGCTGCAGTAACTTACAGCTATAACTTCTCAAGAGGTGGTCCTATGCGGCTAAATAATTTTCCTTGTGTGAAGTATTTATTGTTGACAGAACTTAGTGATTCATGTGTTTTGGGAAAGTTACTTGTACTTCAAATAATAACCCATATTGGGATCTTCTGGGGCCAGAGCTTGGGGTGTCAGGAAGCTCTAAAGGAAGACTTAGACTCCATCAGGCCTTAACAGCCTGAACAGAAGTATCCCCTGAGTATGTTAATACGTACCAGAAGGTCTCATCTGTTCAGAAAGTCACCTTGTAGGTAGAAAATGTCCGTTTTTGACAAATATTAATCAGATTTGTTTGTATTTGTAATTTCCTTCTGGTCCCTCTGCCATGCTGTGCGGTTCTTGCCTCTGCCTGCACGGGCTGACGTCTCTTCGTGTGTGTCTCCGTACATCTTGTAGCTCATTCAGACCAACAAGCTGAAGCACTACCCCAGCCTCCACGGAGACTTCAGCAGTGATTTCCGCCAGCCGTGCGTGGTGTTCACCGGGCACCCCTCCCTCCGGTTTGGGGACGTGGTCCACTTCATGGAGCTCTGGGGGAAGTCGAGTCTCAACACTGTCATATTTACAGGTAAACAAACAAAAGCTTGCCCTTTCCCCTGGGGCCATCCCTCAACACACCGACCAGATGGAGACCAATGGACAAATTTTACAGTAAGACAGAAATATGAACGCTCATTTGTCGTAGATACCAAGGGTGAAGAAACCACAAGGGAAGGAGTCGGACTAGAGCAAGATGGACTGTTAGGAAACTATGCTGGACAAAACTTTCACAGCAGTTTTCGGAGATTTTTCCCTGAGGCAGATTTCTACTGAAATGTTTTTGCGAGGATTTTGTATGCTGTTTCAAGAATGGCAATAATTCTAGTAACCACTCTTGTTTTACCCTTTAGGAATTATTTCCTGAATTGGGCCTTTCTCCTTTGGTTATAGTTTTCCCTGGCTTACAGTTTTCCTTCTGGAGACAAACGCTTCAAAGTAGAACAGATCCTTTCATGAGGTCAAGCAGGGGTTTTACTTAATAACTATATTATTTTATCAATTTTAGATCTTTAGTCAGCCTTGGGATTTGGAAATCTTATGAGCAGTGAAATAAAAAACCTTGATCTGAATGTGGTCCAATGGACTGTAACTGAAGCCAAGTTACCCATGTCTCTGAGCCTCATTTCCTTCCTCATCAAATGGCGTTATTGCTGGCTCCTTCCTTGAGTGGCCCTGTGCATTTAGTGAAATGTTATAAGAAGACACTTCATACAGTTCCTGGCACGTAAAAGCTGTTAAGAAAGTTATCAATTGACTTCTTTCTCATTTCTTTTAAGACTTGAATGATGGAAGAGAGTCTACTCCATCCCCAGCGCTTTAGGATCAGGGACACTGGGGCCCTTCCCTGGGCTCAGCCTGTTGGTGAGGAGTGCCAGGGGCCTCCACCACATGACTAGTCAAACAAAGTTGGCTTCACAACTCACTGCAGCTGGGAAGGACGCATACCATAGGGAAGTGGGAGGCATCTCAGAGCATGTTGAAAAGAACTATGGATTTGGGCTTGTGTTGGCTGATTTTGAGGTGGGTTCACAGCTGTGGGACATTGTTCTGGATTGGCTGCTGTCAGGAAACAGGAGTGGTTATGTGATTGAGCATCTTAATTCTTATCTAGAAGGCAAGAAGAATGGAGCCAGGATAGGGTAATATTTGCTTCTTTTGGGGTTGGAACAGTGTTGTGGTTCTGTGTTCAGGCACGATTACAAAAGGGTTCTTGTTGTTGTCTTGATCCATTGTGGTCACCAAGTGGCCATGGCTGGTGTGAGTGCTCTGTGAAATTGTGTATGTCCAACAGGAGAACACCGTGGCCTAGCCGTGAGTGATAGGCCAGCTCTGGCTAACAGCAAGGCCTAGTAGAAAGGGTCACAAGAGCTTAGAAAAGCAGCTGTCAGGGGCTGCTTCTCTGTTTCCCGAGCCCCCTTTGGCCAAGAGAAAGTCAGGCCACAAGACACTGACTCACTGAACCTCACCATTGCCAAGTTTTGCTAAGCGGGAGGCAATCTGGAGAACATTGCAGTAGGACTAAGCAGGGGTCTCTCCTATTCTTTTTGAGGAGTTGTTGACTCTGATAGGACAGTGGGTACGGTGTTTACACAGGCATAGTTAGAGGATTGGCTATGGTATGAATTTTCCTTCAGCTAGGAAGAAATCAAGGGCTGTGTGATGGTCCATGACCACCTGGGATAATGAATTTAAATCTCAACCAGTGTTGAGGGGCTTTCAGAACAGCAGTTAGGTCATTTGTGAGGTCTGGTAGTGTCAGAGAGGAGTCTTGGACCACTGTTTGGGATTGCATTACAGCCGTGGCACAGTTGAAGCTCACACAGTCCACGTCAAAAGGGAGTCTGTCATCCCTCCCAAATGCTTGCCTCATTTGGGGGTGTTCTAATCAGCAAAGAGGAGCTGCTGGATGGGGAGCAGTTTAAAAATCTGGAAGTTCCATCAGTTTTCCCAAATGCACTGGATAAGTTAGTGGGACAGGTGAGTGTACGGCTGAGGGCTGTAAGAAGTGATGTCCTCGTCGGGGCACAGGCTGTTGGGAATCTGAGTCTTATTTTTCACACCAGAAATGTGCCGGTTCTTCTGGCTCAGGGTGGACAGCCTCCTCAAGTGAATTGATTGTCCCTGCCAAGCAGGCTGCGGTGAGTGGTTCGGAGGGAACAGACGGGCCATCAGGGCTGCGCGGGGGCTTGGCTGAGAGGAGCACAGTGGCCGCAGCAGGAGCATATGGTGACGTGGGGCCAGGGTACTTTTCTTTTCCTCTTGGGGCATCCTGTCAAGTAGGTGGTGTGTGGCTTGTCTCATCCCTGCGTGTTAACTCTGAGCACTCGATTCGCGTGGCCTGCGCCAGATTTCTCCACTGTGAGGTCACTATTTTTATATGTAATCATTGTCTTGGGGGTCGGGGGAGATGGACACTTTGAGACTACATATCCTGGTCTTCCCCAGATCTCTAATTTTTTTAGCATCTATTGATGATCCTGGTCAGAAAAAATTATTACTGTGATGGTTGCAAAATGGTGATTTTTTTTCTTTACCTTCATTGTTTTACCTTTATTTGGCCTTTTGTCGTAAAGAAGTGCTTTCCCTTCTCCCCCATTTACTTAGTTACCGCTTGTTTATCTCCTCTGTCTCTGTGTGTTGGAAGCCTTGAGCTCACACCCATCCCTCCAATTCTGCATCCACCCTGCGCTGTTCACTTGGGCCTCTCCTTGTCCTTATGTGGAAAGACCTCCTCCCCAGTGATAAGGAACCTGGCTCCCACCGGCCTTACACTGCCTCAGCCTCCCGACCGTGCGGCCGTCTGCTTGGCCTTAACCACACCAGCCGCCTCCTCACTTGGCGGTGACTCCGTTGTGTGCATTTCACATGTTGTTTTTGTGCTCCCATTAGAACCTGATTTCTCCTACCTGGAAGCACTGGCTCCCTACCAGCCCTTGGCCATGAAATGCATTTACTGCCCCATTGATACACGGCTGAATTTCATCCAAGTGTCCAAGCTGCTTAAGGAAGTGCAGGTAAGGAAGGGACCCCCTTCACGGGTGTCCCCGCACGGCCCTGTCACCGCCGGGGGGTTCATGCGTCTGTGGGGTGAGGGCCGGCTGCCTTGCTGCATTTCTTGCCTGGCTCACTTTTCACGTGTCTGCAGCGTGCTGGCGCGCTCCTTAGTTACCCTTCACAGCACTGAGCTTTACACCCGGAAAGCAACTTTCCGTTCTAAAGAAATCAAAAGTGGAAGGAAAAAAAAGCATAAACAGTCTATTATTTTTGATGAGAAAATTCTGTGTCCAGTTAAAAGCAAGTTGCCCCCTCTCCCCTCAAAAAAGTCGTTCTAGAACTCTCCTCATGGATCCAAAAGACAGTTCAGCTGAGACCTGGATTGGGCCCTGTTGTACATGTGGATGAGTACCACACACTGGGTTACTTTGCTTTTTATGAGAGGTTTGGTTTGCTTTGGTTTTTTGTTGCTTTTGTGTGTTTTTTCCTTTTGCACTTTCTGCCATAGAGAAAGGGCAGAAGTAGTTGGGTAAAGGGGTCGGTAAAAGGAAGGCTGTCTGCACAGCAGGAGAACTGAGAGGGAGGGTGGGGAGCGACCGCTCGGCAGCATGTCTGATAGTGGGCATGGGGAGGCTGCTTGGGACTGGCCAGGAAGCGAGGCCAGAGGAAGGTTTCTCATTCCCTGTTGCCTCGGGAGCTCAAATGAGCACCACAGTGCCCTGGCATGTCTCCTGTCGCTTCACCTAGTAATTTAGCAAGGGATGATTAGCTCCCTTCACTTTGCTCAGCCCAGGTCAGAAGTTTGCTTTCCTCCTCCCAGAATCTTTGACCTCGGGTTGGGAGGCACTAACACAGAACTCTGAGGAAGGGTAGCAAGGAATGGGAAGCTGAAGAGCCTCAGGAATGCAGAGGTCATGGCTAATGGTGATTCCTCACTTGCTGGCCCTACAGGAAAGAATATGGGCTTTCTCTAGACATGATCAGAGCAGTGGATAAGTTGGGGCCGGTTTGGCGATGCAATAGCCCACCGTGTGCGCGTCAGCATGGGGGCAGAGACAGTTGACTAAGTAACACGCCGCCCACCGCACCCCGGCCTCTCGCCATCCCCACAGCAGTGCTGCGCTCATGGATCCCCTTGGAGGACAGGGATAGTGGGGACGGGAGGCCACCTGGTCTCCCCTGGAGGAGGGGGAAAGGCGGCTGGAGGCCTCAGGCTGAGACCGTGCCGTCAGCTGGCTGTGAGATGAGTTAACAACATACCACCCAGGCCAGGAAGAGACAAGGATGAGCCCAACAGAACAAGCGCTGTTTTGAACGCAGCTGGTTGGCCTGCTGGAAGGCCTCCTTCCAGGAACTTGAGGCCAGCTCCAGGCTCTTAAGTAAAAGCAGCGGCAATACAATGAATTCAGGGCTGCCGGGATCAATTTTCAGTTGCGTGGTATTTGTCCCAAGTAGACGTTGGTTTACTATTCTTGTCTCTCAAAATAACAAAGAGAGAGATTTTGGAAAAAAGCTCTGATTCAGTCCGTCCTACACAATTGAGTATGTGACCTGACCAGTGCCCACTGTCGAAAACCAGCGGATCTGCCGATACCAGAAAAAAGCCCAACCCTGGAACATCAGACTAGCCCGAAAATCAGCAGTTCTTGCCCACTGGCCACCAGCTGTCCCCACCAGTCAGTGATGGTAGGTGTGACAAGATTATGCCCTCCAGGGGCTTCAGGACCAGTTAAGAGTAGACCCATGGAAGTCACCATCAAAGTGCCTTAAAAATAGTAAATAAAAACAAATGCAAATAGAGGCACTGGATTCCCCCACTGGTCTACATGGCTGGCAGTTGAGGGCTTTGCCCTGAAGTTTTTATTCTTCTTTCCCCGCACTGCGCTCACCTCTCCTGCTCCCCGTTACTTGGGTTTGAGAGGAGGAGAGGTCAGATGGCGTGAAAGTGGTGCGTTCGAGCGTGCGCGCACGAGGCCATGGCTGGGCCGCCTCCCTCACCCGCCCCTGTCCCGTTGGTTCTCAGCCGCTCCACGTGGTCTGCCCCGAGCAGTACACACAGCCACCCCCCGCGCAGTCCCACCGGATGGACCTGATGATCGACTGCCAGCCGCCTGCCATGTCGTACCGGCGGGCCGAGGTCCTCGCCTTGCCTTTCAAGCGTCGCTATGAGAAGATCGAAATCATGCCAGAGGTGAGCCGTTCTCTCTCTCATGGTCAAACCTGGGCTTTCCCCTTGAGTCTCAGAAGAGGACTGTCCCAGAAGTGGCTATCTTTTGGCCACAGAAAGCAGACCCTTAAGCGAGGACCTGGGAAGGGAGGTGGGGTCTTCAGAGCCTTCTCATTTTTCGTGTAGTGAAGTAACAGCTGTTAACATCTTAAGTGCATCTCATAACTCTTCCTTCAGTTATGGACATTTATGATTTCTGCTTTTTCTATATTATAAATCATGCTTTCAGAAACATTCTTTTACAGAAATCTTTGTCCTTATATGGAATGTAGAGAGAACTAAAAGCATCATTGAGTTTTGCCTGGGAGAGGCCTGCGTGAGTTGCAGGGGTTAAAATCTGTCGCCATTCTTCAGGTTTTGCTACTGCTAAGGAATGCTTATTTCTCCCCCAAATGAGAGTGTGTCCTCTGCAGCTTCCTCATAATCCTCCTCCTTTGTCCCTGTAAGTGCAAGACAGGCGACCTGATGTGCCAGCCCTTGTGGATGTGTTCTGGTGGGAAAACTCTCTCTGGTCTTGGGCAGCGGGGGATGTGTCCCCCGCTCGCAGACGTGTCTGAGCTGAGTGGTGGCGGCTGTGGGCTCTGGGTAGACATCCCTCGTGGCACAACGGAGTCTTATATTTCACTCACGGGGCTGCCTATGTCCCCACAATGCCGTCCGCACACCTCCCAGGCCAGTGTTGCCAGGCCACACACGGACGGGCATTGTCAGGAGCCCGAAGCAGACATGGGTCTCCCGGGGGGAGCATTTCACACTCGTGCTGTGTGTGCTTCCTTATTTCGTGAAACAGTTCTCACATTCCTCTTAAATGTCCTAAGCGACGTCCTCTGTCCATGGGATATTGATCTTCATAGTTAACATAAATGGAGTCTTGCATATTTATTCACTTTTGTTTTTACACAAAGGAGACTTGGACAGCCCGGGGTCTACATGTGTCAGAGTGATAGTCGACTCAACCTGGGAGCGAGGGCTTCTCACAAGATCACACATCGCTGCCAGTGGTGGGGTCGGGGAGCTCCAAAGCTGCCTCGGAGAAGGGGTGCACGTCAGACTCGGGTGGTAGGGAAAGAGATGGTTGGGTGTTCCACCTTTAGGAGAAGTCAGATTTCGAGGAATTAGCTCACTCAGTCCAAATGCTGCTGTCTTGTCCTTCCTACCTGACACTAGTCACCTAGCGGTTATGAGGTCAGAGGCAGAGGCCGGCATGGAAAGTCGGCACCTGATAGGTATTCTGAGTAAGGAGAAGCCCTCAGCGGTTTCCGAGAGATCCCGTGGAAGTGTCAGGAGCGGTCTGGAAGCCACCTGAAAGGTGGATGTGAGGTTGTGGCGGCTCGGGTGATGAGCCCGTGGCAGGGTATTGGTGGTGCATCACTGGGGGGTTGACTAACAAAAGGGTGAAGCGGAAGGGTCAGCACCCTGGGGTCCCAGCGTGCGACGGCACAGGCTTGTGCAAGGTGGCTGCTGAGAGTCGTGGGCCGCCTCCAGGGGGAGCACCCAGGGCAGGCCGAAGAACACTGGGCTCAGGCCCCTTCTCTCCTCTTCTCAGCCCAGTTTACCCACCACCACCACCCCCTTCTCTCCACTTCTCTTACCTCCTTCTCTCTTGTATGTGTGATGTATTTTTGATTAAACCTATTTTTAAATTTTTTTACCTTCTTCCTTAAAATCATGTAATCATTTTAGACTATGATGATATAAACAAAAGTTCAAAAGAAAAGGAGGAATGGCGGTCACTAATGGCTCAGCTTCACGGCGCCAGGTGCCACACCTTTCCCACCAGGCTGGCAGGGGCGCGGGTCTGCGAGCAAGCTGGTGGCTGTGGAAAGCTGGCCTTGGCCATCACCAGCCATCCGTGAGCTCCCCGTGTGGCCTCCTGGTGCTGACTTCGGATGGCGCAGCTGCAGCACCTCGTCCCTCACATGTAGGTGAGCCCACCTGAGACCCTGTTTGCTTCCAGCTTGCAGATGCGCTGGTGCCCATGGAGATTAAGCCTGGCATTTCCTTGGCAACCGTCTCGGCTGTGCTGCACACGAAAGATAACAAGCACGTCCTTCAGGTATGGGGGAGGGTGGGCTGGGCTTGCACCCCTGAGTTGCCGCTGGAGCCTGGGAAGATGAGGAACCCCCCTGGCCACCCCCACCAGTGGTCCTGGCACTCCAACCAGCACAAGTCAGAGACCAGACTCCTTAATGGATTAGATTTGAAACAGAGAGAACACGGCGTATAAATTCTTCCCTACTTGTTTCTCTGGCCACATGCCTCAGAGAGATAAATGGGAAGAGCAGCTATTATTCATAGAGCTGGGACCGCACATCATCCTAAGTGCCCTTCCCGGCTCCAAGCACCAGCGGGCGCCTTCGCTAGACCCACAGTGCAGAGTGTGGGGGTGGGGGCTGCTGCAGGCGTGGGGCGGGGCAGGGGGGGAGCCCCCAGAGCAGCAGGGAAACCCACCCCCCCAACCCCCGGAGGAGGCCTCCCCTACAGAACACGCCTGGGGAAGCGGGCAGCACCTGGGCACCTGTGAGCCAACCCAGCCCACAGGCCGCAGCGCCTTGTCCCTGGCACCTCGTGCCCCAGTTCACCGTGTTTACTGCCTCGAGGCGTCACTCTGTAGGCCCTTGTCCTCGCACCCCCCCCCACCACCGAGAAAAACTCCTTTTAGACTTGGACTTTTCTGCCACATAAAATATGCGCACTGCCACGCGAGCCCCTTGCCATGATCATTTCTCACCTTCCCACTTCATCCTCACCAAATTCCATTACTGCCACTTTGTAGTTTCTCTGACTTTCATTTTAACCCGTCAGTCTGCCTCCACCGCTGGTGGCCTTGGCTACACCAGCAGTTGCCAACACAGTTTATTATTTAAAGAATTTACTCGGAAAATACTGAAATGAATCATTTAAAACTTAAAAATGAGTCTTGATCAAAGGAAGACCCCTCTGCCAGGAAAGGCCCCGATGCTGTGTGGGTGCTTTGGCATTAGCTTCTGTTACAAAGAACGCCAGGTGGAGCCCCCAGCCCACGGCGGCCCTGAACTCCAGAGCTGGCTGACCTCGCAGCGGGGTCCTGGGCGGGCTGGGCAGACAGGCTCATGCTGTGGCCCTGCACTGCCCGCTCTCAGGGTGAAGTGCTTGATGGGATCTGCGTTGTCTCCCGCTCTAGCCCCCGCCCAGGCCGGCCCAGCCCACTGGCGGTAAGAAGAGAAAGCGGGCAAGTGAGGACATCCCGGACTGCAAAGTGCTGAAGCCCCTGCTCAGCGGCTCGATCCCCGTAGAGCAGTTCGTGCAGACGCTGGAGAAGGTGAGCGCTACCCAGGCCGCACAGGAGTGGCCTCCCTCCTGTTCGCTCGTGTGTGTCGCTGCTTTTTTCTCGGGCTCCACCGGCTGAGCTGCTGTCCCTGAAGCATCTGCTTGATGCAGGGTCATGGCAGGAAACAGAACGGGGGGATGGTCCCAGAGAGGTGAGAGAAGACCATGCCCTCCTTCCCCATAGGTCCCGTTTCTTCTCTGCCAACCCCTTCCCATCAGACTCGGCCGCAAGACTACCTCACCCCACCCCGTTTCTTGTGGGAACCAGGGGAGCCCTTCAGAAACCTAGATGCGACCGATGAGTGAGGTGGGAAAGGCCAGGTAAAGACGACTTTGTAGGTCTGCCCCTTCAAGGCTCACTTTCCAAGAAGACCCCTTGCTGTCAGAGCGCCAGCATGGCCGTGTCACAAGAGACGAGAGGCGCAGGACTGGGGGGCAGTGAGGGCAGAGGCGCCCGTGTGGCCGGATCCCTGGGAGTGGGAGAAGCAGGCCCAGCAACTCCCAGACGGGCAGGAAGAGGGAGGAAGTCGGCGGTCCTCTGGAGGACACTGGCCCTGCCCCGGATCAGCAGCCGGCCATCAGTGATTTAATTTGTCCCTGAAGGAAAGACTGCAGCCACGTTGCACAGCCCTCCTGGCCCCTGAGGGTGGGGACACTGTATGGGAATTAGCCTGGGAGTGTCCCGCGTGACGCAGTGAACACGGCAGCAGCTCCTTCCTCGGAACTTTGTGCTGCTCTGGCCCCTATTGGTAGGACTCAGCTTGACTTGTTTCTTTTTAAAGCTTGAAACAGCTTGCTTTCCCAGAAACACCTTCACTTAGTTCTTCGGCCTGGCTCATCCAGAAATTGACCCTTAGCACCTGTCCCTTTCAGGCAAAGCAGTCTTATTTCTACTTCTTTTCTTCTTTCTCAATTTCATGTGTGATGTGTAAGAAAATTCTATAACTCACATTAAGGTAGTTAGAGTAGTATTTCTGTGCTGCCTTGTCTCCTCCTTCCTCGAGAAGGATTTGCCAAATCACAAGGCCATTGGTATCTTGCTTTGAGGAATGGCGTTTTCCTGGGATGGGATGAAGCTTTTTTTTAAATCAGGGACCATTAGCATGGTTCGGAGGCTGGTGATGGACAGCCCAGTATGGGCTGAACCCAGGTGCTTGGATGTGCTCCTCAGGTAACTCACAAAAGCTTACGCAGTTTATAGAAGTTTTGTTGTGTTTTGCATGAGATTTTGCATGTTTGGAGGCTTCTTTTAAAGTATATGCAGCTGTGTTTGAATTCTATTGTTGTAGGAGGTCCTGTGACAAGTCTGAAGAATTACATTGGGGAGCATCAAAAATGACAGTTTCTAGAAGGTTCAATTTAGCCAAGTCTAGGAAGTGTCCTTTCTTAGAACCGTCAGTTGCTGCAGTATCCTCCTGCCTTTCAGTCAGCCCCTTGCTTTCAGAGTATCCATCATCCTCCTTTCTCTTCTTCTTTTGGAGCAGCATGGCTTCAGCGATATTAAGGTAGAAGACACAGCGAAGGGCCATATTGTCCTGCTCCAGGAAGCGGAGACGCTCATCCAGATTGAGGAAGATTCGACTCATATCATTTGTGACAATGATGAGATGCTCAGGGTACGACTGCGGGACCTCGTTCTCAAATTCCTACAGAAGTTCTAAATGGAACATCTAAGCCATTTCTACTTCACTGAAATCCTGCCGTCCTTCGCTGGGGCTGCCCAGCCCAAACTGAGGAAGGGCATAAAAAGTTGGTCATGTCTTTGTGGTGTTCTCTGGTTTAAGGAATAAAGAAGTGGCCCTTGAGGGACGTGATTATCAGCAGTTACAGCCAGAATCTCCTAAGCTAGATTTCTAGCACTGTTTTGGGCAAGAGCTTTTGCTTCAAACTTAAACTCATTTTCTTCCCAATTCTGCCTCTCTTGAGTGGCCAGGATGGTAAGGCAGCAAGCTGAGGAGTAGTGTAAGAGTAACAGAAGCAGCTTTCCAAGAGGTTAATGGTGGAAGGGGAGGTAAAAGATGACCGAGTTAGCAGTGTGTGTTTGTTTTTCATGGTTTCATAGACCTTGGGCAGGGGTAATTAGTCTTTGCTTGTGTTTTATTTACTTGTCTACAGTGCTACACCTAATAAGAAAGATGATCCAAAAAAAATTGGTATAATGAACCATCTATATGTATTTTATACTGTGAGCCCATTTTGTTAATAAAACTTATTTTTTATAGAAGTACCTGTGCTCTGTTGAACCTAGAATGTATACATTGATTAAGTGTCTGAAAAAATATGAAACTATACAGAAGAGCATAAATTTAGAAAATACTGTAGTGGGGCACCTGGGTGACTCAGTCGGTTAAGTGTCTGACTCGATCTCAAGGTCGTGAGTTCAAGTCCCATGTTGGGCTCCATGCTGGGTGTGGAGTCTACTTAAAAAAATACCATAGCAAATTTTAGTTTGGTGCATGTAAGCATATAACCCAACATTATTTAGAAAACCCAGATATGTTTTTCTTAAATTGTATGAAATGGTGCTTAACTTTATCTGAGCTGTGTTTGTATAAAAAACCCCAACACGGGGCTCTTGAGTGGCTCAGTCTGTTGGGCATCCAACTCTTGATTTCGGCTCAGGTCATGATCTCAGGACTCTGAGATCATGCCCTTTGTCGCGTTCCATCCTTAGCACAGTCTGCTTGTCTCTCGCCCTCCCCCTCTGCCCCTCTCCCAGCGTGTGCTCTCTCAAATAAAGATACAAATAAAAATCTTAAAAAAAAAAAAAAAAACACAGATTGGTAACAGCAGCCTTAACCTGAGGAAAGGTCCAGAACACACAGCCCAGGCTCTACTAGTTAATCCTTGCCACAGGTGATCAGGATTCTCTGCACTAAGCAGAACATTAAACTCAGATGCCCATAGATCCCTCCAATAGTAGGCTAGTACATTTACAGTAACGCTGCTGCTGCTGCTGCTGCTTAAAACCGGTATTTGCCAGATGACATCTAACATAGCATCAGTTGTGACGCATGTGCCGATTTTGCGAGTATTTTTGGAAGGGGGATAAGAGCACAAGTCTTCAAACCGGTCAACTCGGAAGCAGGCCCAGTTCACCCTGTTGTTCCCACGATCTTTTTAGACTGGTTGATATTCAGTCAGTAGTCAGTCCTCCCAACGTGGCCAGCAGCTCTGCATCACAAAGGACTTTAGTGAGCCAAGAACTATGTACAGTCCTGTTTACTGGCTCAGGTTTTAGAGGGAGTTGATTGACCATTCTCTCTCTGGAAGGGCCCTGCCAAAGGAGGGATCCTTCATGAGAGGAGGAAAAACAAGCAGTTTCCCTTGCCAGACTCAGGCACAGGAATGCTCAGCTTTGACAGGCCTCCATTTTCCAAGGTACAGGTCATTCCAATCAATCGGGGCCTAGGATGCATTTACAGAATAAACTGGGGGGGCCTACGGCCTTGGGGGAAGATTGACGTTACAAGAGATTGACGTGCCATTGCTATGAAAGCTTACTTTTGTTTTTAGGACGAGACTGTAAATATGCACCACATGTAGAATACCTCCTAATAAAACTTTTGAGAGAAATCAAGTTAAATTTCAAACATCTTTTAAAATGAGAAAGCAGTATAAATTCAAGAAAATAAAAATGCTTATTTTACTTGGATTTGGGCCAACTTTGATTTCTGTTAATGGGCTTGCTCAGAGAGCCCAAGGCATTGATCCCTTAAGAGGTAATTACTGAAGAAACAAACAGTATGTAAATGCAAATCAGTCCATAAACTGACAGGCCAGTAATAACTTAGAAATTCTAAAACCTGTAATCAAGTCACCACCACCTACTGAGTGGCAGAAGCCAGAGAGGCAGGAAGAAGCAAAGAATCATGTGTTAGAGCAGAGAGAAAATCTAGAACTGGCTCTTACAAGAATTAGGAGAGAGCAGTTATTAGTAACTGCCTAGAGTTCAGATATTTGGACACCAGACTAGGTTGGTTAGTAGAAGATCCAGAAGGAACAGCAGAACCTGCCTCCCCACGCCATCGTTATACCACTGACAGTGGCTCTATTTTAAATGCAGCCCACTGACCATGGACGCTGACCTGGTGAAGAGTTAGACGTCCAGAACAATTTCCAGTCAAGCCCAGCAAAATCCTAATGATGAAATAGTCATTGAAAAACCATTACTTGTGGGGCGCCTGGGTGGCTCAGTCGGTTAAGCGTCTGCCTTCGGCTCAGGTCACGATCCCAGGGTTCTGGGATCGAGTTCCGCGTCGGGTTCCTTCCTCAGCAGGGAGCCTGCTTCTCCCTCTCCCTCTGCTGCTCCCCCTGCTTGTGCTCTCCCTCTCTCATCTCTGTCGAATAAATAAAATCTTTCTTAAAAAAAGGAAAGAAAAACCATTACTAGTGAAGAGGAACCCATTTTTATTATTTCTTTTAATCTAAGAAGTGGTGTATTTATTGTTGTGTAACAAATGACACCAAAACTCAGTGGCTTAAAGCAACATGCATTATGTCACCATTTCTGTGGGTCAAGAATCCGGTGTGGCCTGGCTGGGCGCCCCTGCCTCAGAGCTGTCTCTCCACAGGGCTACAATTAAGATGTTGGATGGGGAAACTGAAGTGCAGAGATGAAGCAACTTTCCCCAAAACATAGTCAGTAGGTGGTATCTGCCTTACCATAATGTCACATGTCAGTATCAGGGATCAGAAGCAGGCCGGGAAGGGGGGACATCCCTGTTAGTCCACTTCTTTTCAAGTAAAGGTAACAGCACTTAGCCTCTCCTTGATCCCTTGGGAGCTTGAAGCTTCTGGACTTCACAGTTGTCCTACACAGGCAGGAGTTGGCTTTCCAAACTACAGTGAAGTATCAACAGAAACAAGAGTGAAGAAATCTCCAAAGCTGTCTGATGATACATTCCTATAAGCCAAGCAAACTGGTGGGTAGGAAAGGGAGACACTTCTCTCTGGCCCCGAGTCCAGTTTTTCCCCTGCGGCCACAAGGAAAGTTGAATGTTGTCTCATCATTTTATGCCACACTGTGGGTAGGTAGGAAACATCTGATGTTATCAAATTCACTGCAGTGGAACTTTGGTAAACAACATTACTCTTCTTTAAACCCAATGAGGTTAGAAATAACCAACTATAATTCCCAAGGAAGTGGCAACTAAAACTAGAGACAGGCCATGTAGAACTTGGCCAAAAATGTCTAATCTCGCCAGACGCTAGAGCCAGCATCAATCATGAGTGTATTTACTAAAGATTAAATACCACAGTCTCTACCGCTGCTTGGTAGCACAGTATGGGTTTTAGTCGCATCATAAAAACATTATTTTCCCATCTACAGATTCAATAAAATCCTTAGCAATATTCCAATGACATTTTTCACAGAAATAGAAAAAAACAACCCTAAAATTCATGTGGAACCACAAAAGACCCTGAATATTCAGCCAAAGTAATCTTGAAAGAGAACGAAGCTGGAGTTCCTGATGTCGAGCTTTATGACAAAGCTATGGTAATCAAGACAGTATAGTACTGGCATAAAAATAGACACATAAACCAATGGTACAAAGAGCCCAGAAATAAGCCCACACTTAAACAATCAACTAATATTTGACAAGGTAGCCAAGAATATTCATTGGGAAAAGGATAGTCTTTTCAATAAATGGGAAACTGTATAACCACATGCAGAAGAATGAAATTGAACTATCGCACACCACTCAATAATTAACTTGAAATGGATTAAAGCTTTAAATTTGAGACCTGAAAGCACTAGAAGAAAACATAGGAAGAAAGCTGCTTGACACTGGCCTTGGCAATATTTTTTTGGATATGACACCAAGCGTAAGCAACAAAAGCAAAAATCAACAAGTGGAACTACGTCAAACTAAAAGAGTTCTGCTCAGCAAAGGAAACTATCAACAAAATGAAAAGGCAGCCTACTGAATGGAAGAAAATATTTGGAAACCATCTATATGATAAGGAATCAATATCCAAAATATATAAAGAACTCATACAACTCAACAGCAAAAAAAAAAAAACCCCAAAAACAAAAAACCAACTTGATTTAAAAATGGGCAAAGGACTTGAATAGACGTTTTTCCAAAGAAGACGTACAAATGGCCACCAGGTATATGAAAAGGTGCTCAACGTCACTCATTGTCGGGAAAATCTAACTGTTCAAAACTCCGATGAGACACCACCTCACACCTGTCAGAATGGCTATCCTCAGAGAGACAAGAAATAACAAGTGTTGGCGAGGATGTGGAGAAAGGGGAACCCTCGTGCACTGTTGGTACGAATGTAAATTGGTGCAACGATTGCAGAACGGTATGAAGCACCTCCAAAAATTGAAAATACAACTATCGTATGACCCAGCATCCCAGTTCTAGGCAGATAGCCCAAGGAAATGAAGTCACCGTCTCAGATATCTGCAGCCTCCATGTTCACTGTGGCAGAAGGCACAGGAGCCGACATGGATGCAGCCTGAGGGTCCGGCAATGGATGAATGGATAAAGAAAAGGTGGGACACACACACGCAATATGGAATATTATTCAACCATAAAAGAACACAAGGAAATTCTGCCTTTTACAATAACACGGATGGACCTGGAGGGCATCATGCTATGTGAAATAAGTCCAAGAAAGACAAATACTGTCCAGGCACACCTCATGTTGTGCTTTGCAGATACCGCATTTTTTACAAGCTGAAGGTTCCAGACTTGAGTAGAGGAAGTGACTGCAGATGTGGTGGAAACAGCAAAAGAACTGGAATTAGAAAGGAGCCTGAAGATGGGATTGGACTGCTGCAAGCTCATGATCAAACTTGAACAGGTGAGGGGCTGCTTTTTATGCGTGAGCAAAGAAAATGGTTTCTTAAGATGGAACTTACTGGTGAGGATGCTGGGAAGACTGTTGAAATGACAACAAAGAGTTTAGCATATTACAGAAACATAGTTGATAAAGCAGCAGGAGGGTGTGAGAGGAATGACTCCAGTTTTGAAAAGTTCTGTGGGTAAAATGCTATCAAACCGCATCACGTGCTGAAGAGAAGTCATGAAAGGAAGAGTCAACTACTGTGGCGAACTTCACTGTTGTCTTATTTTGAGAAATTGCCACGGCCACCCCAGGTTTCGACACCCCGACCCTGATCCATCAGCAGCCATCAGCATCAAGATCACCTCCACCAGCAAAACGATTACAACTCACTGAAAGCTCAGAAGATGGTCAGCATTTTTTATC